CGACTACCATCAGTGGAAGTGGGCTGAGGTGCTGCGGGGTCGGCAGTGTGGTTGTGGAGGTGCCGACGGGCCGTCGCGCCTCGCTCGAGACGGTGGTGCTCGAGACGGTGATCTCGGTGCTGGGGGGTGTGGCCGTACTGTCCCCATCTGAGGTTCGCTTTTGTGGGGCAGCGTGTCGTGTGCCGCTGAGCGTGGATGCCCCGGATTTTAGTGTGTGCTTCGACGCGGCGGGCGGAGGTGGACCGTAGCTTGGAAATGGTCGGACGGCGTGGGACCCGAGTGTCTGATGAACACTGTCGCCCAGTATGCTGTGCCGCCAGCCGCTCGTCGCGAGTATGACGCCGCGCTGGACGCGTGGGTCGCACAGGGTTGGGTAGTGCCGTATGATGAGGGTCGCCACGGGAAGGGGAGGGGGCTGGTGCCGTTGATGGCCGTGCAGCAGTACAATAAGTTCAAGGCGCGCCCGGTGATGGACTACCGCGAGCTGAACGGTTTTGTGATGGCCCACGCAGTCGACACTGACGTGTGTGCTGATCAGCTCCGGAGATGGCGCCGCCACGGTGCGAGCGCGTCGGCGGTGATAGATCTCAAGCGTGCGTACCTGCAGGCGCATGTAGAGGAGCGGCTCTGGCCGTTCCAGACTGTGATGATTCGGGGCCAGCGGTTTTGTCTGACGTACTTGGGTTTCGGCCTGAACATCGCCCCTCTGATGATGAAGGCCGTTGTACGGTCCGTGCTGGAGCAGGACCCGGACGCACGGCGTGCTGTCCTTCCATACGTGGATGATCTCGTAAATGAAGATGTGCTCAGTGCAGAGTGTGTGCTGGCCCACTTCGCGGAGTTTGGGCTAGACTGTAAGCCTCCGGAGCGGGCGGTCAGCGTGGCCCGGCTGCGGGGCCTGCGCGTCCAGACAGAGCAGAGAACTGCGATGGGTGCGGGACAACTCTGTGGGCGCGCCGTCGGCTCGTGTGACGCGTCGCGCCGTGTTTGCGTGGTGTGAGCGACTGGTCGCACACCCGCTCGTGTGCGGATGGCTTAGGCCTGCAGCGGCCTGGCTCAAACGGCGTGTGAACCAACTGACGCGGACGTGGGATGACGCCACGGAGGATGCAGCGCTGCGTGCTCAGATGGACTGTGCCGCAGGACGCCTGAACAGTGACGACCCGGCCCGTGGTGCGTGGAGGGTGAAGACATGGACATCTGGACGGATGCGGGTTCTCTGGCCATCGGGTCGTGGTAGAGTCGGCGGGCGGTGATGTCATCGAGGCGCGTGCTGACTGAGACGGGATGAAGCCACGCACATCAACATGGCCGAGCTGGACGCGGCCATCCGAGGCGTCGACCTGGCCGTCGCCTGGGGAGCACGGACAACCGACCTCCGCACCGACTCGGCTACCGTTCATCGCTGGCTTGATGACGCCATCAGTGGTCGCGCGCGCCTCCGAACCAAGCAGCTCGGCAAGCTGCTGATCCGGCGGCGCGTCGAAGTCGTCTGACAGCTGTTCAGTGGGCTGCGGCTACGGTTGTCAGTGGCGCTCGTGCCATCGGCGGAGAACCGAGCCGACGCGCTGACGCGCGTGCCCAAGGAGTGACTCCGTGATGCGAGTGCGACTCCTGTGGGCGAGCTGCCGCCGCCGGGCGTCACCGCGGCGACGATGGGCGAGCCGCCGCCGCCGGGCGTCAGCGCGGAGACCGTGGGCGAGCCGCCGCCGCCCGGTGATAACGCGGCGCATGCCGTCGGTGGCGCGGGGAACGTGCTTGGTGCGTCGGTCCGAGAGTCGCACGAGCGGGCGGGTCACCCAGGGGTCCGTCGAATACTGTACTTCGCACACCGTGACGTGTCGTGTGACGTCACGCGAGCCGTAGCACGTGCGGTGGTGGAGAGCTGTGATGTGTGCCGCTCGATCGGCCCAGCGCCGGTGCGGTGGCGACACGGCTCTCTCGGCGTGGCTGCCACGTGGCAGCCCATCGCCATCGCCATCGCCGCCGAGGTCGTCTGTCACCTAGAGCAGCTGTTCCTCGAGCGTGGGGTTCCGGAGGAGGTTTTGGCTGATAATGATATTGTGTTTCGCGGTCGCCAGGTGGCCGCTCTCGCGGCGCGGTGGAGAGTGACCATGAGGTTCCGAACTGTTCGCGAGCCGGGTGGCAACGGAATGGTAGAACGCTGCCACCGGACCGTTAGGGGTCGTCGCTGCGAGGCGTCGTACTGTGGCGGAGTCGGTCCACCTTTATAATGTGACGCCCCGAGGTGGGGAGACAGCGGAATCCGCGCCAGCGTCGGGAGTATATCGGTACTCTGCACGGGATTGTGTCCGGCCGGTGCTGGCGGGCGCCGCTGAGGCTGGGGAGCCACGCCCACCCGTGTCTGACGGTGCGCAGCTCAGAGTTGGGGACCGAGTGTGGATGCGTCGCCGAGGTACGCGTTGCCCGGAAACGTCGCGTAGCGGGACAGTGACTGGTGTGGTGTCGCGGCAGGTGGTAGAGGTCAACGGAGTGCCGTGGCACATGATCCATGAGAATCAGGGGGGGGGGGGGTGCGGCCGCGCGGGGCGGAGGTGCCGGGCGCGCAGAGGCACGAGAGCCGCACTGTGCAGCACGAGATGTATTGTTGCCGGCGCTGACGGTGGTGGCGGCGGCCGCCTGGGTGGCGCGGACGAGGGTCGGCTGCTTAGTCCTGTAGATTCTGTAACGTTTGATTGTACTGTCGTACTTTACCGTAGCATTTAGTATTCGAATCGCAATTCAAATACACTTTCAGACATGATCAGCTTGCGAGGACGCCTGGAGCATTTCTAGGATCGTCACTACGCGGCATTTTAACCGACTAAGTCCACGTAAGACAACCGCAGAAGAGCGCGTCTCCGGCACCGCCTCCGTCCTCTGCGACACCACGCTCGGGTGTGAACTCCAGCCACACTCCGCTTGCATTCCACACGGCGGGTGGAAGCAGGCAGGGCGTGCCGGCTGGGCCAGACCGTGGGCGCGCCCCGCCGCGTCGGCAGGGCCCGGTTGGGCCGGCCCGCTCCGCCGCCAACTTCAGCCCGTGCTCCCGGTCACAATTTAACTTCTCAGCACGCTTTTACGGCCCGCTATTAGCGCGCTAAAGGTTTCCCAAGAAGCCGTGACGCTGAAATCTATGCAGATCGGGATTTCTCGAATATTTACGAGGATCGAATTTCCATTAGTTCCGACATTTGCATGGGTCCGCTCACCGTCCGCGCCACCGGCGGTCTGAGCGGAAAATGAAGCAAGACGCACTAGGCTTCCTATGGGAGGCCACTTAGGCTGTGCTCGCCGACTCAGCTCCTGCCGGATACTGGTGTACCAAGAACGGCAACTTTCAAGCGACAGCGGCTGAAAGCCTATTGTAACGCCATACTGAGCTGTGACAAAAACCATGGTTTGAATTTGGCATGTGAGTGATAATGCATATGCATACGGAGAAACAGGGTATGTGCAATTTAAGTATGAAAAGGATATTCGTTATGTTTATCTACGCTGGAAAAATGATGTTCGAAAAGAAAACATGGAAAAGAAAAAAGTGACATCAAAACAGTACTATGGGACCAAATTCAAACGAGCCATATCAAGCATTCATCACAGCATACGGCCGATTGGGGCAGAGTGGTCAACGCGAGACGCATCACGATGGATTTCATGACGGGGGGTCGGTCGACGTCACACACTGGACACAGACAGTATCCGGAACGCGGCGCAGTCGAACCGACTCTGAGTCGGCCGCTACTGGGCCGCGGCGCAGTCAACCTGACTCTGAGTCGGCCGCCACCGGGCCGCGGCGCTGCCGAGCGAACCGCCGCGCTCGGCCCGGCCTCTCGTGAATATGCGGGTACCGGGTGACCCGCGTCTTTGTTTGTTTGGTGAAGTCCCTAGCTGGCACAGGGTCCGTTGTCCCATGCGATATCAGGCACCTGTTATGTAACTTTGGCACCGACTAACCGAGAGAAGGACTTCCTAATTTTCTCAGAGGCTCTCTAAGTGACGCAAGAACAGCCTCTGTGGCTGACAGTCGAGGTTCGTGGCTTTGCCTTTGTTCGAGAATTGTGGCCCATGGCCGGCAATTCAGGGGCCCTGCTCTGTACCGGGCCACCAAACCGAAAGTGGGAATGCTCAATTTCTCTAGCCCCTCCCCGAGCAACACAGGAGAAGGTCATCTGACCGGCTTTCTGGAGCTAGATCCCCGTGTCCCGTTCCACAGGTGCTGGCCCCTTGACTGACAGCGGACCTCTTGTGGTCCCAGGGTTGCTCCAAGTGGCACAACTGGAGCTCCTTGAATGTCATGTCAAGGCCATGAGTCTGTCCTGTTCAGCTGATCTACAAGCCACTGTAGGCTTCAAGGCGAGTGTGGGTCACTACAAGGCTTCAAGAGAACCCCGAGCGACGCCGGAGAAGGCTCTCTGACATTTTAGTGCCCTGGCCCTAGCCATGGCCCGCATATGGGGGCCCAGTCCGGAACTGGGCCCCTGTCTAGGCGAAGGGATTCATTTCTCAGTTCTTTCTAAGCCCTCAGCTTAGTTTTTAGTCCTCAACTTGTGACCCCGGACTGGGAGACCGATCCACAGTGCTTCCTACGCCCCCGAATGCAGCTCTCGGTCTACCTGGTCTTTGAGGGCCCCAAATGGTGTGTGGGTGAGTGATTTGAGAAAGATTTGTCGCCTAACTTTAAATAAGACACAAAACCCTGAACCGTCACGCATTTAAGTGTTCTTGATCTTGAACCCTGAATCCATATTGGCATCATACATTTGCGTTTTAGAGCAACACGATTTTTAACATTTCTGTAGTGACTACACTCCTAATATTTAAGAATCTAAGCTCATAGCATGTCAAACATGGTGTAACATGTATTTAAGGTTTGAGAAAAGGTAGATGAGCAAGAGCTGACAGCAACCCTTTGGCCTTGAGCAGTGCCAGTCTTTTAGCTTCCAACTGCTTCGCAGGATGATTGGGAACGGTTGCAAACGTTGCGCACACCGGCGCGATTGTAGGTCCCGTTTCGTTTCGTTTGTGTGGAGAGCGAGGCGTCGCGGGTGCGTGGGTGCGCTGTCTGGTACTTTGTTAAGGATTATCTATGGTTCAGATTTACTGCACCATTTCCCCGTTATACTAGAGTCACTTATTCCACACCCAACCGTTGCGTGTGCTTCGTTTTGGTCGATGCGGGTTATCTAGTCAACTTTTACTCTTTGGTTTGTTACAAGGTAAGGAAAGGGATCGAAAATGGATGTTCAAAGCCAATTGTCTGCACACCTTGAATGCTTGATTTAATAATTTGTGGTATTCGTTTATGGCCACTGGTGATTTATGATCAATATTCGGGTCAAATGGTTGTTTGGCTCACACCAGTTGGGTCAGAGAACCTAGTGATAGCATCAATAACCATGACCCTTTTTGGGGCAATATTTAAGATTTTGAGGTCCACAGAAACATGTTCCCCCATGATCAGAATGGATGCTGTGACCAGTCTTTTTCTCAGGTCTATGAAATAAGCTTGTCTGTCACATATGTTCCACCCACGTCCCACGTCCCGCTCTGCATCTGCGAGCCACCCATGTGCTGCGCCAGATGACTAAGCAATAGTGATGCTTTGAACCTGTTGCAGTGCTGTGCTACTATCAGCTCAGACATAATTATGATGCGTTTCTGAATGTGTAGTTATACTGAAAATTGCCATTACAACACTACTTTCTTGCTGCATTCCACCTGCAAAAGCAAAAAGTTGTGTGAAAGGTCTACACAACATAGGTTAGCTGTCTCAGGCTAGGCAATGCTGTGAACTTTCTTTTTGTTGGTATGCTAGTCTGAGTGCCAAATTCTGAGTACTATCTTTGATTGATGACTTGTATGTGCTGAACTTGTTGCAGTGAGATCACTGCTATGTGTAAAATGCTCAGCATAGCTGTAACATGCATTTTTGGTTTGGTCAGGTTTAACATGATCTGTCTGTGTGTTCAAACAGCAATCATGCATCAAACTTGGTGTACTCAGATTTTTGATGGAATGATGCCATTGAGCCTTATAGTGCTGTAAGCTCATGTCATGCTCAATAAGATATGCCATTTGGGAAAAATAATTTGGAAAACACCTGTATTTATTACAATTTGGCAATGTATATCAGACAGGCTTAAGATATAAGATGCTTGTTAACAGAGCCGCAATAATTTTCTCAAAGACTTTTAATGGTTTATCAAAATAGGTAAAAATATAAACACTTGATCTTATTTTACATTACATGCGTCATCTAAGGAAATTGTGCTATTGGCACTGGTCAAGATATTACAACCTCTGTTCAAGATATGTCCAAGTAACATATTGTGTGACTACAGAGGGAGAACATTGTAGTTGGCAATTGTGAAGATATCTCACAAAGCATGTGCAAAATGACCCCAGTGGTCAATATGCCTAAAACCTGCAATAATTAAATATCTGACATCTGGTGATAGTAGCATGGCAGAGAAGAAAGAGAAGCAACCATGGTTATCCATATGGCAAAAACTGTTCATTTATACTTACCATTCATGGCATCAGTATTGTCAATATTATTCAATATTTCACATGAGCATACCATAATTTTTTAGAAATTAGGTGCATGCAAATTTGTTTTTCAATCAACAAACACTTATGTGTAAAACTTACTTGGAAGAAATTGGAAATGAAGCCTCTTGATCTATCTTCTTTGTGGCATGTCCATGCTTTACACTGCAAGTTCTGAGACCTATATCTGTCTATGACATAACAACAAAACTTACCAGTTAGAGTGATGGGTGCATGCTTAAACCACCATGTACTGACCACAGCTTATAACTAAGGTTCATGGTTCATTCAGTTTTAAGGTAATCCTTCAACAACACATGCTGCTAGCTCCAGCCATGATGAATGAAGGATCTTAATGTGCAAAACCCTTACATGAATAAAAGGTTCCAGTATCTGTGAATGATGATCTGTGAATGATGGGCAGATTAGAAAGGTGAGGCTAGAGACCAGTTACATTGTAGAGACCTTTAACATTACTGTGACCTGAGTCAGTGTTATGGGGATGGAAGCAATGCTACTGACATGATGTTGTCAGTGATACCTCTGGTTCATGAAGTCAAGCAGATGGGAACCACCTTTGACCCCTGTCAAGTGTCAAAAATATGCTGATGAAATATATAAATGCTTTAAAACAGCTACTGGCAAGACAGGATGCAGTCAAAATCCTAGGTGGTGTGTTCAGATATCCAAAATGCATTTTCAGGGCAGCTGCCAGGGCTCAGGAAAGTCCCATAATAGGTCGTGGTATCTAAGAACAGCATGCTGGTTTTTAAGAAGACCCATGCCTACAGACACAGAGCATGCCTCAAAAGCTGCATCATAAACTGAGTCATCTGTACAGCTCAGGTGCTGGTGTCACATGCTCGGCCCGTCACATGACGGGCACGTGGGGTCAGGTCCCAGAGCAGACACTCGTGTGACTTGTCTTTTATTGTGAGCTGGCAGCTGGCTGGGAGACCCACACTGAACTGGGTGGCTCTGCCATTGTATTGCATCACAGGCTGGAAATCTGTCGGTAAACACTGACAATTTTAGCCTTGGCTTACATCACCATCCTAAACAAGACCCATTCCTCAGGATTTAGTTATGGAGGCAGCACATGGATATTTCACTTGTGCTTTTATCTTGATGTTTCAAAGTCTCTTGGGGTTACCCTTTCATTTGATAAAGAAATTGGTGGTCGGATACCTCAGCCCACATCGCTTGTGCAAGGTTTTGATGGATCAGAAATGTGTGTTAGTATCAACACCATGTCCATGAGTTCACATGTGTACATAATAGTCTGTAGAGCATTGCTTCATTTATCCCGTGGCACCTGCTGGCTAAGTTGCACCATTAGATGTTAATGTGCTGCTGATGCCGTGTTTTGGGCACACACAAATCAAATGGAAATGCATAGAGACCATGCTATAATGAATGATTTGCATGATACATATGATTGTCTTCCCAACCCATCTAATGTGTTCAACTTAAGGACAAAGGCACTCTGTTGTTAATGTTGTTGGAGTGGTGGAAGGAGGTCCGTCGTCGACTGGCCAATTCCAGGCAGGCACTGGGCCTAAACTGTATCAAAACTTTTCAGTGCACAAGAATCTATATAGACAAATGCTGCTTAACCTTGTTTGTGTTAATTTATCAAATCAAATGGTTTGTGACCACATCAAGTTCCCAATGTTTTTGCCAAGTCAGTTTTCGCAACTTAAGAACACACCCAGATTCGGACACCTTATTTGCTCCATTACTATGTGAACAAGATTTCACAAAAACAGGCTCAGTAAGCAAAGTGATTAGATTTGGCCTCATGGAAAAATTGTGGTACAATTGAAAAGATGTTGGTAGCAAGGTCAGGGTTAGAGAAAGCAAGACACTTCTGTTTTAGCTGTTCCAACATGAACTACCTTAAGTAATGCACCATTGAACTGACCTAACATTGCGGCTAGTAAATAGCTAGTGTACATATTACCAAGCAGTTAGTGATGGAGGAAGCACCTTTTGCACTCCGTGGCCATTCTGTTGCTTTCAGTGCTTTTGTTTGGATTGGTTGTCAAGTGGACTGATCCGCATCTGTAAATGATGCTATTTAAAAACATAGCTGTAGTTCTTCGTACCAGTGAAGGCGTTCATTTTTCTGAGATCAAACGGGACATGTAATTGCCTAATGGACGTCACAATGGCTATGCAGTAACGCACGCCCTATCCTCGCTGCAGAAGCCCGCGTTCGGACGGTTTGCGAAGCCTCACCATGGCTGCGGCGGCGGTGTCCAGTAAGCCGGAGGAGCTGCAGGTGGCCATCGGGCCCAAGGACCTAGAGCTGAACGTGAAGAAGATCATCGTCCACCCGCTGGTGCTGCTGAGCGTGGTCGACCACTTCAACCGCATGAGCAAGATCGGCAACCAGAAGCGCGTGGTGGGCGCGCTGCTGGGCAGCTGGCAGAAGAAGGGCGTGCTGGACGTGTCCAACAGCTTCGCCGTGCCGTTCGACGAGGACGACAAGGACAAGTCGGTGTGGTTCCTCGACCACGACTACCTGGAGAGCATGTACGCCATGTTCAAGAAGGTGAACGCGCGCGAGAAGATCGTCGGCTGGTACCACACAGGTCCGAAGCTGCACCAAAACGACGTGACCATCAACGAGCTGATCCGGCGGTACTGCTCCGACTCGGTGCTGATCATCATCGACGCCAAGCCGAAGTCGATCGGGCTGCCGACCGAAGCGTACGTGGCGTACGAGGAGGTGCACGACGACGGCACGCCCACCTCGAAGACGTTCGAGCACGTGCCGACCGAGATCGGCGCGGAGGAGGCGGAGGAGGTGGGCGTCGAGCACCTGCTGCGCGACGTGAAGGACACCACGGTCGGCACGCTCTCGCAGCGCATCACCAACCAGCTGGTGGGCCTCAAGGGTCTGCTCGGCCAGATCCGCGGCATCCGAAACTACCTGCAGCAGGTGGTGGACGGCAAGTTGCCTGTCAACCACCAGATCATCTACGCGCTGCAGGACATCTTCAACCTACTGCCCAACATCACACATGGCGACCTGGTCAAGTCGCTGTATGTCAAGACTAACGACCAGATGTTGGTCGTGTACTTGGCGTCCATGATCCGCTCGGTGATCGCGCTACACAATCTGATCGACAACAAACTCACCAACCAGGACGTGGAGAAGAAGGAGTCGCAAGGCAACAAAAAGGACAAGCAGGGCGACAAGGACAAGGACAAGGAGAAGGAGAAGGGTGACGATAAAAAGGATGAGAAGGAGAAGAAGGACGTGAAGAAGTGATTTGATGGCGTGCAAGTGTAATGTTTGATTCGCTCTGAACTCATCTGAGGCCTGGTGACGTGAGCGTTTGGGTCTTGAGCTCGTGTGGCCCAGGTTCCCGGGCTCCTGGGCTTTGCTGGCTACCGATTGTGACTGATTGTAACTGCGGTATAAAAGCAAAACGTCTGGACATTGCCACCTCTATAATTTTATGTTCAAATCTCGTTTCATGCCGGCTCATTGCAATGATCGCTGAACTGTTTCGCGGTGAGCCCGTCACCGATGATCCTGGCTGAGCGTGTCTCGCACTTCCTCGTGGTGTTGCCAACCGCTGCGCCGGTCGACGCATATGATTGGGTCGGACATTTTTTGTTTGTAAGCGAGCCTTTTCTAAGCGCCCAAATATAGACCTCATTGTTCGCCACGGCTACTGCGACCGGGCGGCGCGTGTTGACCCGAGCCTGCGAATCGGCGCCGCTGAGACCGGCCAGCTTCAGCTGGCGTCGTGCTGGCCGCGGCCGGCGGCTAATGAGCCCGCACTGGCCGGCCGGCGGCGGCGGCTGAGCGGCGCGAGGTCTTAATTCCGTCGGCTGTCGCCAGGCGGCGCGGTGGCGCTCAGGTCGGCTGGGCTGCGGCCGTCAGGCCACGTGTGCGCACCGTGTGCTGTGGCTGGTGGCTCAGCTTTTAAGGCTGCCATAACTCTGCCTAGTTATCGCTCCATTAAACGTTGACAGGCCATGAATTAGCTCGCACTCATCACCATTCTGTTTCATTTACTTTGTTTTATTACTCCTGGCGGTTTATGACTCCGTCAGCTGGCTGCCTCGTATGCCAGCAGCTAGCGCAGTGAAAAAGTATGCATTCGCCTTACGAAATTGGCCTCATTCAAGAAATGCAATATGTTGAACAATTAGTGCCGTATTTACGTCGCGAAAGGACGAGGATGAAGATTAGCTTCCGTTGAAGAAAGTGGCGCACCAAAAGTCTGATGATTTTTTATTTGAACTTTTGATGTAAGAGTTGGGATTTGTACTCATCCGTAGGACGTCCCGTTTACCAGCTGTATGCCCTGCTCGCAGTTCTGCGAAGTTTGGATTCAGCAAAGCGAGGGTACGAAGCGTCACGGTCGGCTGTGCCGTCTCCATAACCGGCCAGGACAAGCGACGTTCACTTCCACGCCCTGTATTTCAGCACAGCAAAATTCAGCGTTATTGAACATCCATGAAGAATAGTCTCATATAGCTCTGGTAGTGTGCGAACGGGTCAGGCTCACACTTAACGTAAATTACGTCGAGCCCGATTATCAAGTATGAAACGACTTCATACAGACGTTCTGATTAGGGCTTAGATGTGCGATTACAATTTCGTTGCGCACATTCCATGTTGCGGGACTGCAGTTAATTGAGAACTTTTTGTAATTGAAGAATGCTTCCATCACTTCGCGCACATCAATAACTTACCCGGATCCCGCGCGGTGAGCAATACTGCGTGCCATTCTACGAGCGGCGCGCCGCAAAGCCCGGCACCTGCGGCGTGCGGTTATTGCCTGCGTCATACTGGAGAATTGTGGGTCCGGGTGAGACTTCTTTGTGAGACTTCTTTGCGAGACTTCTTTGTGAGGATTCCATGCGGACTCGTCCGGCGGCAGCCATCCGAGGACTCTCCAACCCGCAGCGTTGCGGTTGTCTGGAAGATGCTGCGCGAGATCAAAGGCGCCGGCGTCTGTTGAAGTGCGGCTCAAAGCCTCTGGTGGACCGCCGATCGACGCTGTGGCTGATCGTCCGTGATATACGCGCTTAGAGCAGTGCGAGCGGGAGAAATAGCCGCCTGCTGACGGGGCACGCTGCAAACTTCTCCAAAACAGGCACGACTCATACGTCAGCAGCTACCTTTCACATTGCACCAGCGCACGAAATTGCCCCCTTCCCTTCCACATGACATTTCAAGTACGGAACGGATGTGGTTTCTGCAGTCGCTCCACACTGGCACCACTCTTACCGCACTCTGCAGCACGGAACACCACCGACAGGCTGTTAGTAAAGCGTGGGTCACCACCGCCGTTCACGACGTTCACCAATGACGTGCCGCTTGAGCGTGGGGTCCGCGGCTGCCCGCCCGAGGATTTGCTAGAATTCTTACCTGTTCTACCAAAAATATTGAGCGCTGCTGGACGTAGATTCCAGATTGAAATGGGGCCGATATTTATACCAACTTGGCCAACCGATAGACGTCTGGATTCCTGAAACCTTGAGTCAAAAACAACAGGTGAGAAAAAAAGCATAAAAATGTTTAACATGCGCACCCGCAAGTCTGAAACAAAACCTCGATGCATCGTATTGCGGTCTCCTGAGACCGCGCGTCGTCGGCCCGGCGGCAACACTATGAGGCGGTCAACGGGCGGGCGAAAGTGACAACGCATCCGAAATGACTGTCTTTGGACGCTCTATGTCGTCAATTCGCACGTTTAAAGGCAGTCCTTGCGTGTCGTAAAATGTCTATTTTTCGTGTTGTCATAACTTAACACACGCGTGGGTCGCCGGCAGGATGCTTTTCGCTCGGGTGGGGGTCAATTTGACCCCGCTGAGATCTCGGAAACTAAGAAAGCTAGAGACACAAAATTTGCAGGGTACGTTGACCTGTATCTGGACTCACTTAAGTCAAATTTTGAGGTTCCTGGGCTATGAACTTCGGGTCAAATAAAGTCAAACAAGGTCAAATTCCAGGTTGGTCTCCGAAGTGCCCCAAGAACCTAGATAACTGTTTCTAAGAAAAATGTTTCATGCTTATTTAAGGTCAGTGACCTTGTTTGACATTGGTAAGGTGAGAGTAACCAAATTTATACAACATTGTTTTGAGTTTTGCATTTGAATAAGCGACAAAGACAACGTTGGGCAGTATGTTGCTAAATCCAAATGTGGACCTGTATCGTTTTGGGTCAATGACTTATTATGACCTCTAAGAGGTCCATAGAAGATGTATAATGCAGCTCCTGCTATCAAGAAATTCGAAATGAGCACCAGAAACTATCCCATACAGCAAGTCCTAGAGTAATAAAGCATGTTGGTTTTGACCTTGGTTTGACCTTCATATCTGACCTTAGGTCTGCGTTAATTGCTCATTTAATATTTGTGTTGGGTAAGAAAGCATTTCAAAGATGTATGGCTTCGTCTAACACTCCGTTGTTGGATCGCATTGAGCGATTCCCTAGAAATTGCTTTCGCTGAAACCATGGCCTGACTTTGATCTGCCACAGGTCGGTGACCTTACAAGGAACATCCAAATTTTTGATGCTAAGCGATCCAGTATTTTATTGTATACATGTACGCAAAATTTGGCGCGGCTTCACTGCGCCGTTCGGAAAGGATTCCGGAAAACCTTCGGGGGTCAATTTGACCCCCACCCGAGCGCCTGTTTATCTGTTCAAAGCATGATCTCAAAATGATAGATCAATACATGGCTGTAGTAACAGGGCAGGGACAGGGGGGGGGGGAGAGACATGGGCCTCCACTTTTTAAGGTGGGGGCAGCAATGTTACTGCCCCTCGCCCACTTTTTAGATCAACACGCGCTCGGGTGGGGGGTCAAATTGACCCCCTTCGAAGATTTTCCCGGAATGGTTTCCGAACGGCGCGGCGTAGGCGCGCCAAATTTTGCATAGCTGTAGAAAATTAAATAGCAGATCGTTTGACATCAAAATTTGAGATGTAATTTGTGAAGTTGCTGAACTATGGCAGGTCAAAATCAGGCCGTGGTTTCAGCGAAGGCAATTTCCAGGGAATCGTTCAATCCGATCAAACAACGGAGTGTTAGACGAAGCCATACATCTCTGGGATACCTTCCTAGGTAACACAACAATTGGATAAACAATTAACATTGACCTTGGGTCAGGTGTGAAGGTCAGACCAAGGTCAAAACCACCGTGCTTAGTCACTTTCGGGTTTGCTGTATGGGGTAGTTTCTGATGCTCATTTTGCATTTATTGATAGCAGGAACCGCATAATACACTTTCCATCGACTTCTGAGAGATCAGAATAGGTCAGTAACCTAAAAGGACCCAGGTCAACATTTTGTTTTTAGGAACATGCTGCCTGGTATAATTTTTGTCGCTTATCGAAATACGAAACTCAAAGCGTTCTTGCATCATTTTGGTCACCATGACATTTAAAAAGGTCAGACAAGGTCACTGATCTTAACTGAGCATCATTGATCTTAACTGATCTGACATTTTGCTTAGAACAGTTACCTAGGTTCTGGCAGCCCTTAAAATATTAATCTGGAATTTGATATTTTTATCCCATTTGGCCCAAAGGTCACGACCTAGGGACTTCAAACATTGACATAAGTGAGTCCACGTACAAGTCAACACACCCTGTGAATTTGGTGTCTCTTAGTTCCCGAGATCTCATGGGAGTCAAATTGACCCCCACCCGAGCGAAGGATATCCAACCGGCCGCACGGGCAAGTGTTAAAAGATTAGGCAAAGTCGCTAACCTTAACTGAGCGTACGAAATTTTGCTTAGAACATTTCCCTAGGTGCTAGGGGCCCTTTGGAAACCAGTTTGAAATTTGACCTGGTTTGACTTTATTTGACCCGCAGGTCATGACCTAAGAGCTTTAAACTTTCACCTTAGTGAGTTCACGTACAGATCAACACACCCTAATAATTTGGTATCTCTAGCTCTCTTAGTTCCAGAGATCTCAGGGGGGAGTCAAGTTGGCGCCCCCCCCCCCTCGCACCCAAGCGAAAAGTATCCAACCGGCCACCCGGGCGCGTGTTAAGGTTGTGTTTGGCTTACTTCTGCACTACGTTAAACATACATGCTGGTTTACCAAATTCACCAACCATCTTCCTCAAGATGCGTCATCTTTTTCGTTTGCTCATTGGCCATCGCTTAGTGTCACAGCCGCGGGACCGACGCCGCGCAGCCTATGAACACTGCGAGGTTGGACGTCGGGGCTGTTTGCTAGGACTTGGTTGCTAGGACGAGCGCGCGTGCTCAAAGCCATATTACATAGTTTTTTACCACTGATCAATTCTGACTGAATCTTGAGCATTTTAAGATAAACAAGGTTTGACCATGTTGATACAAATTGCCAAACGCTCGATCTACAATCAAATTTTCATCTCCAAATTTCGATCAAACATATCGATCTACCTTCTACCTTTGCAATGTCTTAATGTCTGTAGAACCAGGAAATAACTCTGACAAAGCTTCTAAATTTTATCGGCTTTGAAGTAGTCCACTAGACCATTATAGATTAAGGGCGCCGGTAATCTGCTTCACGCGGTTGCTCATCGCCTGATTTCTGCAGGTTATTAACTTCAAAATACAAAGAAAAATCACTGCACGCTAGCTCCTGGTTTCTGTTCTGGTTACAAGCAAAATAACGATAAAGCAAAGAAACCGTGTCCATTGTTTACAAGCAAGCTACATCCGGGGATTTTTTTTTTTTGGGGGGGGGGTTACCATAAGAGGGACTTTTGTCAACCCTGTGTACCCCCTAGGCAAGGCTCTGACTACGCTCCTGCCTACACACAAAAGCAGATTAAATCAGCTACGTCGAATGATGGGCAATTGAATGTCCGTTGAGCCATAAGGCCGGGACCTTCCCGTAGGTTTTTTTTTTCTGTGGCAGTGTGATGAAAGGGAAAATGACTCCGAAAAAGATACTGTGACGGGTATCCAAGATATGCTTTACACACCAATTAGTAACGCCGATCCAGAAATATGCAAGAAAACAGGAATACAATCAGTTTGCGGTCAATCATGCGGGAGACGGCCAGGCCAGGGTTTGATGGAGTCCTCTCGCGGTATCCAAGCCGTCCTCTCGCGGTATTTAGGCCGCCAACGGCGGACGGGAGCAGGGTCCAGGTAACGAATATATGACAGAAGGGCCCTCCCTCTTTCTGTGGCCTGGTTTTTTAAGAACAATATCCAGTTAAGTGGATTTTGTCGCATTGTTTTTGGAAGTTTCAGGCATCCGAATTTGTTCCCGCTTAAAATGCTGCGACAAGTCTTATCTCTTGAAAAGCTGCCAGCGAAATGAAGGCGCGTGAAAAATCTGTCGCAATGTGAGCCATCGATTCCCTCTCAAAATTTTCACCAGCGTATGTCCAGGCCGTATTTTGGCATGAAGTACTGTCTCCAGCGTGATCGGGACCCGCCCTCCCGCGGGTGTGTGGGTCAGGCCGGCCATGAAGGAAACGGTGCTGTCTCCAGTGTGCTCAGAACCCGCTCTCTCGCGGTATTTAGGTCAGGACTCGCCCTCCTGCGGGTTTGTGGGTTAGACCGGCCATAAAGGGAGCGGTGCTGTCTCCAGCGTGATCAGGACCCGCCCTCCCGCGGGTGTGTGGGTCAGGCCGGCCATGAAGGGGGCGGCGCTGTCTCCAGTGTGCTCAGAACCCGTCCTCTCGCGGTATTTAGGTCAGGACTCGCTTTCTGGCGGGTGTGTGGGTCGGGCCGGCCATGAAGGGAGCGGTGCTGTCTCCAGCGTGATCAGGACCCGCCCTCTCGCGGTATTTAAGTCAGGACTCGCTCTCTGGCGGGTGTGTGGGTAGCTTGATGGACGTAGCGAGGAGCACAGGATGAAATGGATCGCGCGGGCCGCGTCAGCGAATACTGATGTTGAAGGTTGCTGGGTTTGGCTGAAAAACACTGCCAAACATCGATCACTCTTTGTTTCAAACGCGTTGTTAGGCTATCGATTATATTTCACCACGTCGTTGACGCCGCTCCGTTATTCTTCCCGCGCAATGAACTGCGACGTAAGTTTCAGATGCTCTAACGCTCATGTAGAACAGCAAATCACAGGTGACCGTATGTGGAACTAATGAACTAAGCAAGCCTCATCCACCGCCATGGCTTGTTTGACGTGTGCGCGTGTGTCCCTTGCTAGTCATCGGGCATGGAGTTCACGCCTCGGGTTAATTTGACGTGACATTTAGACCCTGCCGGAGAGCTAACAGCAGCGCCTGTCGGTCTGGGGGCAGAGACAATCATTCCGCTGGTCCAGCGGCAAGTACGGGACGCACGTGAGGTACTGTCTTTTATGCGCAGCCACTGGTGAAACTGCATGCCTTCTGCGTGTGATGCATCGTTACTGAGACCGTGCCCGGTATTATGCAGGGATTCGCGGCTGTTCCCTTGCTTTGCTCAGATGCATGAAAATGGGAATAGTTTCATGCCATGCTCTCGAACAAGGACTTGCCATTCCTGACAGACGGAAGGCTTCGAATGATGAGCCAATGATTAAGGTGATATGGGAATTATCTCCGAGTACATTATGGTACACCAAAATACCGTCGTATTTCGCAACCATCCCCTTGTTTCTTTTGCTTTGATGCGCCAACGCCGTACACCTAATGCTAGTTTTCTGAATTGTTGAGTTTACAGCTACGAGCCCAATTAACAGCAAAGTTACACCTGCGAACATGCGTCAACATGATCATTAGCATGCAGGTAGCGTCCACAAATGGTCGTATTACACGCATGAAAAAGCAACGATGAAGGCATGCCAAGCCCGACGCTCAGTTTTAGCCACCTCACGACCGGCCCGACCACTCGGCGCGACTACGCAGCGGAACGCGCAGTCCGGGACGCGCCGGCTCTTCGATCCAGTCGGCGCTCAATGGTGACGTCATCTCACGCGAGGCTCGTCCCATCCGCTTCTCCCCAGTCGCACCTGGCGACGACGAACCGAACCACGTCCCGGCGGGGATGGTCCCGGATGACCGTCAAAACATGCTTTTTCGGAATGGTTATATTAAAACAACGCAGACTAACAGCTACCAACAGCAGGGTCCATGAATCCTTAGTCGTGACGTCGGCTGTCGACGTCTGCTCCCGCCGCCGACAGCACGGGAATGACATCTGACGCAAACGATGAGTGGTGTGCGCTGTGTGCGTGTGCGCCGGTGCGCCATGTCTGACGGCTGGCTGGTACGATCATGTGCGTTGTTAACCTGCGCGGGTCTCGCCACCGCCTCGCCATCGCCTCGGCCCCTCGACAGAAGTGAGCTTTCCACCAGGGAACCGGGTTTGCGGAACACGCGTCGAGGACAAACGACTCGAGGGAGCGGCGAATGAATATTTAAGCTAGTTTATACCGCCCGCACCAAGGCTGGTGCTACAGTCCTCCGTAGCAGTGCTGTGGTAAGGAGCAAGCACCGCAAACAAGCTCACGCGCTCTGTTCGCTCCCGCGGCTGCACAGGTGAGGATTGGTCCGTGCCCGCTCGCGGTTCTCTGAAGCGTGTGCCCGCTATCAGTGTGTGGACGCCGGCAGACCGTCGCTAAGCACGTCGAAACACAACGAAAAACAGCCACGTGTTTTGCGAGCAGCGCGGAGAGCTCCAACCGCCGCCTACCAGCAGAAAGTCGCCCCATGACACAGTGACACAAATGGCCACGGGCGAGCAGCGTCCACGCACCAGCGACACGTGACACGGCCCGCACGCACGCCACGCCCCTGCGGTCCCTTCCGGTCACGCTCCGAGCTCGCCACACACGCCGCCCAGCTGAGCACCGGTGCCAGGTGAGCACTGCCGCCACTCGCGAGCCGAGCTCAGCGGCGGCGCGCAGCGACGGTCCGCGCTCGCCCCGTCGACGGAAAGACAGCGGACACACCTTCGATGAGCACGCTGTGACGGCGCTGGTCGTGACTGAGCGCAGTTATTGTGGTGAGATGCTGTTGACTGAGCAGCGTGACACGCACTTACGGACACGTACACATCGTTATGAGAACGATTCACAGGACGAGAAATTCGCGAGATGGTCAACGAAGCATTCCATACACAGGACGCACATTCCACGTCGATACAAGAGCCCCGGTAGACACCAGGGACTGGTGGCGTGGTTTGAACACTTATTTAAGATAAATAAATTCCAACTTAGAGGTTACTTCACCGTCACGTGCTTCGTATTTGAGGGGCAATCTGGGCGGATGATTATAAAACGCGCGCGATCTCGAACTAAAGAAGGTAACATATCAAGCACAGACGCTCGAACAAGTTGAATTGCCACGCTATAAAATGTCCGATTGTCGCAGTGTCGAATAACATTGTCTGGTATCACAATCATGACGTTCAGCTGACCAAGAGAGCCCTGTTGCTTCATCTAGCCCTTGACAGCCGCTCAGAGCTGAACGATGGATGTTTCTGCGGGTACAGTGAACGCATCGACCGCGTGCCGGACAGGAGAGGCCGATCCTGTCCAGTTGAGTGGGGTCTCGTGGGGTGCTGCCCGCGCCCCGGAAGCAGCAGCACTGGTTGTCCAAGCGCAAACGCACACACCTCTCCGGAAGCCCCCGGGGGACTGGCGGAGGCAAGCATATATAAACCACGCGAACAAACCCGTACACTCTTGGGACCAGCGCGCACTGCTAGGTGATATATATATATATATATATATATATATATATATATATATATATATCTACATCGCATACTGTTGTGAAAGTGAAAACGTTGGCACGGAGGTGCGACGCCCGCCCGAGTGGTGTTCCCTTTTCACTCCGCTCTCCATACCTCTTGTGCCAGTGAGCATCTACATTTTCTGACCACCTTCCTGGAAGATGTAGGTGGTCCAATAGATCAGGTTGAAAAGAGCGAAGACGAGAGGGAACGTGATACGCGCGATCACGTCTATCCGCTTTGAACGTGTCGGGAACCTGAAAACGAAGAGCGTCGTTAGCCTCATGCTTTGAACGTGTCGGGAACCTAAAAACGAAGAACGTCGCTGGCCTCATGCTCAAACAGGAAACGACAGAAACGGGTGAACAACAGCGCACTTGTTGAAAAAACGGGACTGGATTTCAATCGCGATCGTTACACGGAAACGGAACAATGCAAACAAAGAGGGGATGACAGTTACGAAAATTGCGAGAGAGAGTTAATCGCATTTGGTGGCAGCACATGGAGTGCATTAGGACATGAAGTGAATAGTATCCATGAATTTAAAATTGCACTCGAGGAATCCTCCGAAACGTCTTCTGCACATTAAGGTAACGTAAAACACAATCCAACCTAACTTCACGATCTCCGATATCGAAGAGTTTCCCAAACTGCAAGTTCACACCCAGTGAAGTGCGAAAAGGGAGCCAAAGTTTATTCCCATTGAAAGCACTGCTGGGACCCACGACCAGCACCTAGAAGCCGTGCTTCTAACTAAATGGGATCGAGCCAGCCGAAACAGTTTGGTCTCATTCAAAGAAAACCTTTAAAGTGCCAACGATTTCTGAGAAAGACATGGATGTGGAAAATCACCAGTTTTATCCACGTATCTCGGAGGAGAAGCGATTTCGCTCATGTGCAAAGACTGCGAGAATTTCAGAACATCTCGCCAATAAACGTCGGCGAACATTGTCTAATCAGAGGCCCGTGTAGACAATGAGAGCTGCCGTTCATGGCGCCAAGAGTGAGCAGAAGACACAAGTCCTGTTTCAGAGATGGCAGTTTACCATACCAGCCCACGTGACGTCACATGAAGTGACAGCAGCTCGACGTTTTGGGATGTCGTGACGTTTCGGAATGTCGTGACGTTTCGGATGTCGCGACGTTTCGGGATGTCGTGACGTCTAGGAATATCGTGACGGTTCGGGATGTCGTAACGTTTCGAGGTGTCGTGACGTTTCGGGGTGTCATAACACCAAGTGCGAATATCACCGGAATGACTGATTTTGTTGTAAACGGAGCATCAGCTGATGTCACGCTTTGTGGTGACGTCCGATCGATGCCAGTATTATGCTGCGATGCTGCCATTGTTAGGGTGGAAGGATCATCTACATGAAAATATCGCTGTGTTTGAGTTTCGCCGCAAGTCGTGTACGGGGTTCTAAAATTAGGATGGGCGCGCACATTTCTTCTGGCCATTTCTCAGGCTTTCCCCCTGCATTGTGAAAATGAACTGCCTGACACGAGCCGTATTAGGTGCCATAACCTAGTCACGTACATACGTGTTGACTGGCGTAAATATGCATGATGCATTCCCTAAACGCGTGGATAGCACAGATTCCGTCTAATTTTCATTGCACCTTTCGTAATTTAGCACTTCTCCTTGACACAGGAAGTCGAAAAACACATGAAAAAGTGTTAACAGTAGCTGATAGCCACAGGACAAATGGCTTGCACAAAGAACAAACAAATTGCATATGACAAATAATTTTTAGCATTTGACAAAAGCATCACACTGCATTATCTTGGTTCGCCGTAGTGCGTACCAAGTAAACACCATGGTAGGTCATATCTTAAAAGGTCATATCCAAATCGTTTTTGACAACAGGAAGCCCGATTTCTGAGCAACAGGAAGCCCATTCTGCTATATGAAGAGTTTGTGACACAACCGTAACGAAAAGCTTACACCATACATGCCAAACCAGCGTGAAAGTAGATAAACAAACCATACGATCCACCTCGATGAAGTTCAAAAGGCTATAGGTCCAGCATCTGAGCAGGCGTCAAGTTACCACCGGGACACTGCATTTGCTATAACCATTTTGAGACCATAGATCCAGCGATTGCAGTTGTGGCACAAAGTGTGAGAAACACATAAGGTCCTAAAGTGGGTAGTAAAAATCATTATCCAAACAAAACGATGAAAACATTAGAATCCTTCGCCTTCCATCCCACATTAAGTGCCAACACAACCCAAGACGCCCCACACGCCACATCGCGTACTAGGTTGCATCACAACAGATCTGGTGGTCTTGTTTCAGCCTGCCGCGAGTTAGCACCAGCATATTCTCATACCTGTTTCTCGTCATAGGCGCATTCCTCATCGTTCAACTTCATTTGTAAAGTGTATGCTTCCATAAAACACAACACGAATTGCCTTGGCTGAGCGAAGAAAAGTGCAAAGTTCTGTTGCGAATACTCTTTGTACGGTGAATTTCATATGCTGACGCAAGCAGTTCGCTCTGAAAAAAAAAACACTGGGAGGAGCGGAAATGATGGTTCATTGCACGCCCCAGAGTTGTAGCATTTCCTACCGTTTCTTGTGGTAATCTCTCTTTGTCAGCCGCCCTTCTTTATCGCTACAATGTTTCTGCAACATTATGACCTCGACGTTCGGAGCAAGGCCAGAACATGACAGTCGTGACAGCGGCACTACAGCGCCTAACGCCATCGGGTTATGACCCAGAGCCGGGGGAAGAGTCGCCAAAGTGTCAATATTCCGCCGGTTTGCGTTTGCTTGAGTTGAATGGTTGCTTTTGGAATGGCAATTTTCGCCTCGTTTTGCGCCACATGAAGTTGGAAACCGTCCTTGGATGGTCCAGCCCTTTCAGCAGTGTGAGAAGGCGCTTGCCATCGCCGAAAAAACGAGGTTTGAATTGCTAACATTTTACAGGATGTGTGGTGATGCGGAAGTTAAGAAAGCCTCAGCCTTCGCATCTCTAAATGCTGTCTGCAAAACATAGGACAACATATTTTCATGGCTAAAACAGATGCACCATAAACACCGAACATGTGTGTTTGAGGCAAGGCAATCAAGGATACTTGCATCAGTCACGCCTACATTTGTAGATGATTTAGCCTACCACTCGCGGAACGTCCTCATAAGAGCGTACTGACTCCGAGACACCACGCCGCGCACGGGCTCCGGCGCCCCGGGCCGGCTCCGAGTGACACTCACTGGACGCCGGGGCCGAGGTCACAGAGCGCGGCAGAGACCACGCCGCCCACGGGCTCCGGCGCCCCGGGCCGGCTCCGAGTGACGCTCACTGGACGCCGGGGCCGAGGTCACAGAGCGCGGCAGAGACCATGCCGCCCACGGGCTCCGGCGCCCCGGGCCGGCTCCGAGTGACGCTCACTGGACGCCGGGGCCGAGGTCACAGAGCGCGGCAGAGACCACGCCGCCCACGGGCTCCGGCGCCCCGGGCCGGCTCCGAGTGACGCTCACTGGACGCCGGGGCCCAGGTCACGGAGCGCGGCGGGCTGCGGCAGGCTCGATGCACGCCCGATGTATCATGCCCCGCAAACGGCGCCGTTTGTCTTGGGACGGGCCGCCGTCCGCGCCGCGGCTCAGCCGGCCCGCCACTGCCCCGACCGATAGCGGTCGGACGCCAAATTAGTCTGTTTGAAGTTGGTCTGGTCCGTGCTTCGGAGCGCGCCCTCGCCTGCGGGAGTCGGTTTGAGCAGAATGCCATGGCCATCTGCTTGTTATCCAGTAGCGCCACACGCCCCCCTAAGCCGCCGCCATGCGCTACACGCCGTTACGCGACGTCATGCGCCGTCGTTGCGCTGCAGATGGCACGTCACGTGCTCGGATGTGGCGCGGCCTGCACGTACCGATTCCGACCGACACGACCTCTAAGACAACATCCGGTCGGGCCCCACGCCGCCAAAGCTGCGCGGCTCATCCGACTGCTGCGCCGAGGTGACCGATTAAGGACCGGCGATCGTGTGGGCCGCGCCAAACGGGTGGGCGGGTCGCGCAGCTTTGTGTAATTAATGTCTGGCCCGCTTCGCGGCTCTGCCGAGTCCGGAACGCGCCGCTGATCGAACGGCTCATCCGGTCACAAATAACACTGAACAGACTGGCGGGCCGATCACGTCGGCCAACGGCGGTGTCAGCGCCCGCTGATAGTCGGTGGCAATCGGCAGCGCCGGTCGTCAAGAGCCCACATCATTTAGCGAACCGTCACAGCGGGGCATAAAGCCGGCCATAACCGCCGCACTAGATCACAGACGGCGGAGCTGACCCAGCAGTGCGGCGGGGAGCGCGCGGGCGGGGTGGACTGGGTCCGGTCGGGGCCCGGCCGAGCGTGGGTACGCGGCAGCCCGGCCGCCGGCGGGGCACTTAACACTGTGTGCAGAGCGCACACACGGGCGAACGACGCCGACGAGAGCCGACGGTACGAGTCCGGACGCGCGGCGCCGGCCGCCGGGGCGGATCCGAACGTGACTCCACCCACGTCCGACCGCTCAGTGCCGCACGTCGGCAGATCTCGTCACGGATCTCGTCTCGTCGGCAGATCTCGCCACGGACTGCCATCCGACGACGGCCGAGTCACGCCACTGCCGGCGGCGACGCGGCTGTAGCCGTCCTCGCAGTCCGAGGAGAGCGGGACGTCCGTAGACAGGCGCGGCGCGGCGGCTTCGTCCCAGAAGGCGGGCGGCCCGTCCAGATGGCAGCGGAGCCTAACGAGACCCCGGGGGAGCGCACGCGACTCGACCTTCGACCCAATCAGGATGACGCCGCGGCGGCCAGGCCCCGGCCCGGTCCCGGGCAAAATCGGCAGCGTGTCGTGGGCTCGCGTCCGGGCTGGGTTTGGCCAGCTGCGAGGCGGGATTGGAGGCCGATCCAGGGTCTGCTCCCGGGGGACCGGCCGGAGATAGGATATCTGGGTCCGATCTGTGGCTGCGCTGCGCTGGGTTCGGGTCTGTATCTGCAGCCATCTCCATCTTCGGGTCAGAGCTAGCTGTTAGACTCAGGTCGAATGACAATGCGAGCCAACTGTGGGGTCTAGATTCAAGTTGCCAGACGGAGTGCGGTCTTCTGTAGACTATCGGCTATCTCTGAGTAAGAAGCCGCCACGTTTCACCAGTTGTGGTCGTCAAATCTATTCATGACTGCCAATTTTGTGTCGTTTGGCTGGTTCCACTACATATATCGAGCCAAACATTGATGAACTGAACATGCTGGCTGCTGCTAATTTTCTGGAGAGGTTTCATGCTTCGCCCCATATTACTCTGCGTTCCAAAATGTGAGCGCCGGCAAGCCCCCACAATATACGCGCCGCTGAAAAATCTCCATCTCTGGGTGCTGACAATGAGATTTCGACCGAGCCTATCTGGCCACTCAGGACACCGCCCCCGAGCGTGTCGCTCGTCTCCAGACCGGAACACGGCGCCCTGATCCGCCCTGATCACCCGGAGGAATCAGGGCACCCCGGAGGCCGGGCGTCGGTGGCGAGCACGTCCCGCCCCGCCCGGCACGCCACGGCAGGGCCGGCCCGCTCTCGCCGTCCTCACGTGACCGGGGCGGAGGACGGCGGGGAGGCCGACAGCGGCGATCCGGGCGCGGGTGCGGTGTAAGGCGGCGTGGAATGTGGAATGACGCCGAAAACAGGCGACGCGGAACAAAAGCACGACGCTAGGGGTATATAGTTGGGAAGTGCTGGAAGTTTTCGAATGTTTGTCGTGGAAAAGTGGTAGGAGAGTCGCAAGTATGTCAAACCAGACCCGCTGCAACGCAGGTACGATCCAGCGCGCCGCGTGCTTAGACGCAAAAGTAAAGAGCAAGTCCACATGTGAAAATGGATCGCACGTTACCAACGTTTTTTTTTTTTACATGGCTGCTGCACGCTTCAACACCTGGACACCAGAGACCAAGAAAACCAGATGGGCGAGTGACGGCCCTGCCACGCATCGATGACGCCAGCGCGAGCTGTGCAATATCTGTTTCATCGCAAGTCAAAGGTCAGAGACTGCACTTATACCAAAATTCCTCGTGCTTGTATGTTCTGAACGCAAAAATGCCTTGCCAAATGTGCAGCGTCCTGGAATATTTTTAGCCATACAAGCAGCCCAGGATGCACATCTGTTCGGTGCATGCACACCTGTGCGTGTGCGCGTGTGTTTGTGTGCGTGTGCGCGTGCCAGACCAGTCCCGGGGAGCACGCGGCGCCCGATGCGGCCCCTCTGTGCGGCGCGCTCGGTCGGACGCGGCGCCCACTCACTTGGCCAGCCAGCTCCGGCAGCAGCCCTGGTGGCCGCCGCCCACCTGCATGTGAATCTCACACTGGCGGCTCTTGTCGAACCCACCGCCGCCCCTGTCGCCGCGACGCACCAGCGGCTTCTGAAACACGGCCGGAGCGCGGGTCATAGCGGGCACGCGCCGTCGGGGACGGCATGGCGCAAGACGCTGTGGCATACTGGGTACAAGGGTGAACGGTGGGTGACCCTCAAAACGGTGACGCGACAGGGGCGGTCATTGTCGAGGGGGAAGGGGGCGGGGCGTGTAATGTGTGGCTATAAACAATTGTTGTGAATAATGGTTACGTGAACTGGATAGCAGAACATATCATGATGCATGCAACGCAGAGATAAAATACAATTTCCATACTCTAAGGACGGTGGCGGTAAAATGAAACAACGCTCGCTGCGTTCAAAGGTGATTTATCTGGAAATAAAGTCCGTGAAATGCGAATTGGCTAGCATCAAGTTGAATCACACAAGAAATAGCTGGATGACGCAAAGCGTACGTCATAGAACGCATCACAACCATCGAGACAAATGCATTGCTGGCAGCTGACGCATGTTGAAATTGGCCAATTTTCCATTCCATTTACCAGAGCGAATGGCAGGAACATTACACAACTATTTTTGTAACGGCTGTGCATTGCCCGAAACACATCGAGGCAACTACCCCCGCACATCAAACACGCACACGTCTCGCATAAAGCTAGGTCCTCCACCACTTTGACCACGACCCATTGGTGGCGACATCATAGGCGTGCCATATTACAAAATAACTTGCGACTGCTCTACGGCTTGCTTTTGTGTTGAAACCTACCCTGTCCCGTACACTACATTGCGCTTTCGTGGGGTACGCAGAAGCTGAGAGCGCCGCGTTATGTCTGGGATCCACAGGCGGGTCCGCTCAGGAGCCCGCCTTCAAGGTTCAGCCCGGGATCCACGATCAGGGTCCAGTCAGGGATCCACAAGCAGGACCGGACTATAGACTTAAGAACCGGATCCGGCCAGGAATCCACAAGTGAGGTCCAATCGGGAATCAACCAGGAATGTATGGCCAGGAGCGGGGCTCAACCCGGGATCCACGTTCGGGCTACAACTAGGGATCCACAAGCAGGACGGGGCTATAACTTACGAACTGGATCCGGCCAGGGATCTACCAGTGGGGCCCAACCAGGGATCCACCAGGAGTGCGTGGCTAGGCGCAGGGTCCGACTAGGGATCCGCCAGGAGTGTGTGGCTAGGAGCGGGGTCCGACCACGGATCCAAGTTCGGGATCCGGCCAGGCAGCCCCGCTTAGCGTCATACAGCTCAAATCTGACAAGTCGATTCCAGCGCGAGTGTCTGACACTGAGAACAGCACGGATTTAGAAGGCACAAAGGCGACTCCGATTCGCACACCATGAAATCACTTTCTGTCCAATTCGACACGGTGAGTTCTCAAGAGATCCGAGCAATCTAGTTTGCCGGCGGGCCGGCGGCGGCGACTGACAACGGCTGCACCGCCGAGGTACCTCGCGAGAAAATGCAGGGACGATACAGCTTCTGGGATATTCAGGGAAACAACAACGCGGGGAACGTTTTACACACGTTTACGCATAGCTAGAGGGGCACGGAAGGAGGCAGAAGGGAAGTACTCCTTTTCGTTTGAGTACGGGCGGCCCTTGGTAAGCAAGCCATATGTGTCCGTCAGCCCATCATATACTTTGACATGGACCTGTAATGTCCTGCATACGTATAATCCACATACGATAATAGCTGTCGCCGCTTTTATCATTTCCCGCGAAAGAAAAAGGCTTTAAGATCTTCTAAGTGTTTAAAGTTACCGTTAAACCATTAAGTAAGCTTAATCCAGCAAACTTAATGCACATCTCACGACCAAGCCTGCTCCGTGTAACCATCGCAACAGGAACGCCTTCTGTACATCATGGGGAAGAGCCGTGTCCAACCACTGGAGAGTAAATATTAATAATCGTGTGCGCTTGTCCGGTGTAGGACAATGCCGCCATGCCCCCACAGTGATCTCCGCGTCACTGCCTTAGTCGGGAATGGAGCTTCCCCGCCCGGCCCGCACAGACCCGCGCCTGGGGCCATTGCGTGATGGTACCCGATCGATGTACGTGTGGAACGAGATGCTGATATCGTGTGATAAACGAGGAGAGACTATTGGCTGCCGATGCTCCGGGCCGGCCACACCAATCACGCATTGTTTTTTTTTTACGGACAGAATCCGAGGGGTGTGATGACATGCATTGTTTTGGATAATTGGTAATTACGAGCTCAGGATAACTGAAGCCTTACGTAATGTTAAACAAACAAAAAACTGCAGAATGGTTTGAACTAATACATTTGAGTACATTTTCTCCAATCATAACCCTCAAGTAACGTAACGCACAAAAACGCATGCTAAACTTTCCATGATTTGCGACATCTTCATGGAGTAAAACCGTATCAGAAGTTCAGATCCAGTAGGCAAATGAGCTAAAGACGGTTCTGAGAAGAGCCTTGACTAGAAAACTTCAAATCACCGGGGCATGGAGGCACTGACCGCTCGTGCGCCGGCGGTTGGTAGCCTATCCGCACTGCCTACGTTTACTGCGGGTCAGTCTACCCACCCAGGGATCCCGCCTGTGCCGAACCCCGAGAGCGGCAATTGGCGGGGAGAAACATTCATTACTTGTTGGGTGGAACCCGGCAATCAGAGGGATTGTGCGCGCAGTATCCTCAATAAGGCTGTCGGCAACATCTGACACAGTAACTTTGTGGAGAGAACGCAAAGGATGGGTGGAGGAGGCACGATTCCGTTGGCTTCCTTTCATGTGACGCCATAGGGTTGCTATTATTTTTTTTTGGACGCGTTAGGAATAATTTTCGATTACTCTGCACTGATCCAGCATTGCTGGTCTTCCCAGGACGGGCTGCAGAGAAGTGTGCGATTTTCCGCAAATTCCACCAACCCGTGACATTTGACCCGGCCAACCTCGTGGGTGACTTGCCGGACCGCGTGTCAAATTATCCCTCTTTCGAGTATATTTTTCACGTTTTTGTTAGTCAGAAAATCTAGCAATGTGCGTTGCACCCGCTTTATGAAGCACGCATGGAGCCATCAAACTAAAGGAAAGTGGAAAACTACACCCGATAACAAAACACGCCAACTTTGATTTACCAAGCAGGCGTCACGTCAGACAAATACAAAGACAGGCATGGTTTGTATGTTGTAAGTGTATGAAAGATACATCCAATTCAGAATGAATTAATGGTACCAGAAACATGCACGAAAGAAACAAAACAAAAGAAAGCAAAAGAGGACGCCAAAACATATGCTACAAACATATATTTTGGTTATTTACTGAATGGCGCAAATTACCCGGTTTATTTCCCCCAAAAAACATTTCACAAATGTAGTGTCATGCTGCTTATGTGCAGGAGCAGCTTTACTTTCATCACGCACGGACAGTAATATCCAACGCGATAAAACGGGCTGCAGTTGACAAACCGTTTGAGCCACCACCTGGCACAAAGGAGCGAAATCCGAACATGTGGACTGGAACAGCTGGACGAGCGACAAGTCACGCTTGAGTTATTTTAAAGTTAATTAGAGATTACTATCCATACAATCAGATCAAAGCTGTCTCCGTCACATCATTACCTCCGGCATCGACGTAGCACCCATTGCCGAGGCTTGGCTCATGTTAAAACTGATTGATTTAGATAGAGCTGCTGGCTGACCGATGCAGGTCGACTGTCAGACCCTCCTTCTCCAGGTGTTTTTCAAGCCCATCTCCACCGGAACGGCTGCCGTCACAATCTCAGCAGACAGACACGGCCGTCCAACGAGCGTTCGGAAACCCAGCATTAAGGTTTCTTCGATTATTATGAACTTGACACAAGCTTGAGCAACGCCAGACCTGGTAGTGCCCTTCAAAGAGCTTCTGTTGTGGATTTTAACCGAGCCCAAACAGAATACCATCAAGAAACTTCGGGAAGCGGAAACGAGTTTGGATCGGTTTGCAGATTTCTTGAAAGCCTTCTGCAGCGTGCTCATCCAATTAAGCGTACAATGACGGGACTATTACCGTGTAGTTAGTATGATAAACGACACGGTGGTCTGCGTGACAAATTTGGATTCCATCCTGGAAAGTTAAGCGGCAACAGCTCCAAAAGCGAATTAAAGTACGTAAACGCTGCAAGCATCTCAAGGAATAATTATAGATGCAACGATGCAGCAATGCCAGCATCTATCTGAATGTCATAGCCCATAACACACTTTACATCAATTCTCATAGCATATGGGTTTATTATGAAACAGTGTAATTGCCAGCAAGGGATCTGAATCAAATGAAACGCCATGGAAGGCATCGCAGATGGCGGGCTGCAGCCATAGCCACTTCACAGCGGTACACTGGACATTTTCAAACCGAACACACTTCGTAAGTGCTAGTGCATCCAATATCAAAGCTCTCTGCCTGATCCACACTATTTTTTCTGGTAAATAAGCACATGTCAACCACGATAAACGGGATTGATACCAATCTCACCGAGAAAGTGACCTGCCACATGTAACCGATTAAGGTCTATCTTGTGAAATATGCTTAACAATGCAATGAGCAACAAAACTAAGTTGCAAACATGCACAATATTTTTCGGTGATCACAGTCAACACGAAATGGTGTCTGTAAGTCCAGTACAAAAACATTCTTTATGCAATGCGGTTTAAAAAGCAGCTTTGGCCCTGGATAGTCTAACCTTGCCACTTTTGACTGATGATATTTCTGACCTATTCCAGGAAAGCGAGCTGTTGTTGATGGATGCCATCAGAGCCTTTTCCGTCAGAGCCATAGAGCCACGCATGTCCGATGGATAAAGAACGTGCTCAGGCTTCAGACTGATTCTACGATGCTATTTACCGGAAACAAGAAAAACTGGAAGAAAAAGCTTTGGTGTAGGTGACTGGCGGCAACATTCGGGTTTCTTCGATTATTGTGAACTCCGGCACTATAAGATTAGTAGTTTAAATGCACACATTTATCTTATATAATTCCACTCCTCAGTTAAACGCATACAACACGATGCGCGTAAACGGCCAATCTCGCCTGGACTCTC